AGGAATATTAAGTCGGCGACTCGGGCCACTCTCAGTCATACAAATCAAATGACGAGCCCTAACAGGCAGGAGTCCATAAGTCACAAAGGATTGAGATCGAGTTATCTAGTCATCCTATTGAAATATTAATCTATTAGCTACAACTAAAGATTAATTATTTCGCGGTCCGGTCTTATACAAACTCATTATATAGGATACCCTCACTCGCATGTGTCCAAACGAATGACCTGGATCAAGTCATTTGTAGCTATTACAAAGTGGGTCGTATCCATAGTATTACCAGGATAAGTTAGGTACCCAACCTTATCTATATATTATAGACCCTCTAGGTTATTAATTACTTGAACATTATCCACCTGTCTATCGAATATATAATGTGTATATATATATATTGTATATCAAATATATACGTTRTATATTAAATATATACTATATATCTGTTATATACTATTCCAGTTACATGACTTAACCTCGGATGTTATTTGGGTTAATGYAATTCTAAATGAAGCATCAATAACAACTTTATTGATTAAATATTTGTTTTATGTTTACAAACCAAGAGTTTAGGGTACAAAACTCAACACTTGCTTCAGCAAATAAGGTAAGGAATAAAGGTCAAGGCTTGGATAAGGAAAATGGTAGGAAATTATGAAGATTTGCCTTGGTAAAGAAGGAAGTTCCTCTATGACTAAATAATTTGCCATTGTGAATTTGGCAGAATTAGGAAGAGATCTAATTTGTGATCCAGTGATTCATAGCTGGTGATTAAGTAATTTGTGTTCCAATAAGGCCTGGACGTAGAAGCCCAGCCGAGACTTAACCCATTGAGGGCGGGTAGCCTATAGATCGGCCTAAGCGGGCCAATTCTTGGCCACAACGATGGTCCTCCGACAATTTAATTGTGAAGATGGATCCAAATCTATCTCATCTTAGCAAAACTCWACAACGGACCAATGACCCTTCAATTCAACAACATCCAGCCCAACGACAAGGTACTCAAGCCCAAAGAGYTAGGGTTTCACACAAGGATTCAAACACAAGGATTCAACTCCTATAAGTAGAGGAAGAGACTTAATCCTAAAGATACGTTGAATAACGTCGTACTCTTGATAATCATCAACTTCTGATTCTAACTTGCATCCGAGTCTGTGTGGAGCACCACATCGGTGTTGAAGTTTGTTTGTTTTGCAGATTGGCGTCAAATCTCTTTTTATCTTTTTAGTATTGAATTGATGCAAATTTGGTGAAATCCCAAAGACGGAAATTCTACGTAAACAGTATCCAATCCATGATTTAAAAGACGACTGATTTTACAACACTAGGAAGATTCTTTCTAGAGCAAAAGTGATGATCTTTTTATGGCTCTTCGTAGATCTCAAAGCATTCACTTTCCTTTCTCAATTTGCAMTGTCATGTCTTGATGTTTTTAAATCTTGACTAAAATTGCGAGAATAGTTTTAATTTAATATGATTTTTTAATTATTATTTCAACTTTAAGGAAGAAAATGAAACCAATAAAACATTATTATTAAATTTTAAATTATACAAATAAATTAAAAAAGATTCTCAAAGTCTCAACCATCTTGGACAAACTTCTGTATGGTTGATGGTTGTTCATTTCTTTTTAAGTGAGAAAAACTCATCTTTTTTCTAAAGTTAAATACAGTTAAATGGAAATGTATTTAGCAATATATATATATATAGGGGTATGCATAGAGCTGGGAGAACAAGTTTAAGAGTATACTCACAATTGACAGGTACAGGTACAATTATGGAAAGCGATTTTTAAAAACATTTTAAAACAAGTTTATATGAAAAGTTACATTTACAGATGTCAACAAAACAGGTTTCGTGACAAAAAAAAAACATTCAAAACCGTTTCTTGACAATTAAATGTTGACATTATTAAGTATATCATGATAGTTTTAAATTATCGTTGTATACCTTTACGTGACATATATCGAATGTCATTATTTAATGTTGCATGACATTTTTAAGTTGTCATTATACAATTTTTCGTGATAGTTAAAACTGACAATATTGACTATTAAAACTATCACTACAAAAGTTTTCATGACAGTTATAAATAATCGTGAAAAAAAAAATTCATGTCAATCTTTAACTATTGTTAAATACTAATTCATGACAATTAATAAACTGTCGTGTTTAGGTATTTATTGACAAGATGACAAAAATATTTGATTGTTTTAGTGACACTTATAAATTATTGACTTTTTGTGACATTTATTAATTGTGATGAAAAATCTATTCATGATAAAAAGTATAAYTGTAGTTGTAAATGCATTGATGACAATTTTTCAAATTTGTCGTCTTCTCCTCTTTCTTGATGCCTTAATAGATGATAATTAGATAATTGTCATAATTCATGATAGAATTTAACTGTCATTGAAGGCCAACTTTCTACTGGTAGTTTCAAATCAACTATTTTATTAGCTTCCTAATTAAAATGAAAATAGATTTTTATAAAGTTTAGTCCCATTCTAAATGAGATTTAATTTGAGAGAGGGAGGGAACAAATTTAGGGTCAGGGTTAAATATTGCTTTCCTATTCTTTACCATCAAAAGATTTGTGTGCAAACAAAATCCTGAGCAGACTTGAATGAAAAAAAGAGATCTTCCCAACTTGTCCAAACACGAATAAGACCTACAAATTCCAATCTTTCTTATTTCAATTCCCTCCGTCCTTTTGTATTTTGATTTTTCGATGGATGAAGGCCTAAACTTTCAATCATTTTGCATTTTGACGTATGAGGCTCGAAAATTAAGTTATGAACTTATGACAAACACAGAATAAAATGTATGTTCAAAATTATGCTGAGGGTTAGGTCATAGCCCCGAAATGCTCACAACTTAAAAAGAATCAGCCCGCAGCTTTTCTGGAGAATGGCCTTCGCTTCGGCGATTTAAAATCAACCTCCGAAGACGGGCTTTTTGCCCACAAACTACTCCAAATGGTCATATATATATATACACACACATTTGTTTATRTACAATATATGAGGTGGAAGATCGAACTTACAACTCTTGRTTGAAATATATGTCAATTAATGCTGAACTATACTCGCTTTGGCTGTATATCCCCTCTTTAATCAATTTAAATCTATCTATAAAATATCTAAAAAAGAATAATTATTATCTTTCCAATTTTTATTTAGAATTATTTGGAAGAAATTAAACAACCTAATAGACATAAAATTAAAAGTTAATACAAATTTCTATTGAACACAAATTAAAAAGTTTGAAGACAAATTTGTAATTTACCCAACTCAATACCAAAGCGAGCATAGCTGAACAGTAATTGGCATATATCTCAAATCACAAAGTTGTGAGTTCAAATCCTCTCTCCAATATGTTGTACTCATCCAAATTTGTCACCCATTGCAATAGATAAAAGTATTAATGACATTGCATGAGAAGCTAATCGATCATCTTGTTTTTTAGTAGGTTCAATTAATTAAATTCAGCCCCCTTTTTTTTTTCCTTTTTTCAATGGTACTCTCTGTTTTTCAGGACAACCCTATTTTAATTTGTTTTTGATTTCCAATGTCATAACATTATTATTCCCAACATTACGACTAAATTTGAGTGCCATTTTTCCAAAGCAAAAAAGTTCATCACGTACGTTTAAATTAAATTAAATTAATGCTACCTCGATTCAATGAAAGATTCTACCTAACATAAATGTAATATCAATGCTAAACAGGTTACCASTTTTCATATTTTTAAAAAATATAGACCTGACTTTTCTTAGTGTTATGTGTACTTACCTTTTAATTTGCGTTCGATTTGAATAATGGTGCTATTTTTTGTATAACTTCCAATTTTTTTTTTCTATATTTAAAAATTTCATAGTTATTTTTRTAGTAATTATGTAAATTCCCGAATTTATAAAGTTGTTAGAATCTCATTCTCAAACTTTCAATCTGATTAATTACAGTTGAAAACTTACAAAATCGTTGTAATTAAACTCTAGGTTATAACTTTGTTGGTTGGGTCTGAAAATGCAAAATGTACTCAAGAACTATATAAAGATTATTAAATTCTAAACGTCAAACTCTAAATCACTTCTAAACTATAAGAGTTGTTGCAGTTTTCTCATAGTTATAAAATTGTAGAGAGTCTAAAACTTTTCTTCGGGACTTGATATGTATGACGTAAAGTTAAAAAAAATGTACCTTAGAATCTTAGACTATAGAAAAAATATTACTTATATACATAYAATGACAATATATAAATTGAAAAGAAAAAACCAACAATTTCTTTAAATGCAAAAGAATAGTGTGGTTGCACTTGTAAACCTTTCAAAATGTAGAAAAAATTTACTTTAATTATTAAAGTTTGAATATCACACAACATATATATTTTGTTTTTCTTTTTTAAAAGTTTACATATTTATATAAAGAATTTTTTATATACATTGTAAATAAATATAGTACTAAAAAAATAATATATATACACAGAGTATAAAGTATATGGTAGGCGTGTTTTTTTATAATGAAAAAAATACAGGGTAYAAAGGAAATTTCTCTTTTGTTATATATATTAAGTGTTATTTTCCTTTTTTTTAATTGAGATATTTAAATATAACAAAAAGAAAATATAAACCAAAAGAAAAACAGTAGCATATAATTCAACTAATGTTCTTCCMAGTTGGGTTCAACCTGCTGTAGATTCGTTCTTAGTGGGTGGAGATTCGAACTTACGACTATTTGGTTAAAAATAAGTACCTAAAYTAGTGAAACTATATTTAAGTTGGCATAAAATTGTTGCGATTAAACTCAGTGTGATAGTAGATTTAATTGCCATAGTTTCATTACTGTAGACGGATATATACTAAAATTAAAAGTTATTGTGGTGCTTTATAGTTCATGGTGGCTTTTGCATTAATTTGTTGTCTAAATTTTATTCGATAATCCATTAATTTTAATTATTGATTTATACAACCAAATATAAATAGTAATTTTCCAATGCTAGATAATTTCTAGAATAAAATAGATTCATACTATTTATTTTATCATTCATTCAAATGAACATCACATTGGAATTTAAGCTAATAACAGTTCATCYTAGTTGTTGATGCAAAATSCTGACGAGGTACGGAAGACGACTTCAGAGGTCGTTGGCACCACTTAGAAYGATTCTCGAGTACTTGCATGGAGGTAAGCCACTCCGACACCCAAGTCAATATTTAAACATCAGACAGATTTTCGTACTTGAACCCATGGGTGAGTGGTGTATTTATAGCGGTAGATGGGGTAGATGTATGTTCTATCAATGTATTTCAGGGCATGGGCCCGTTGAGCGATTGTCGGTTCTTGGCAATCACCGGTCCGTTCCCTGTACTAGAGGATGAGACTTGGTGGTTTCCTTGTTTGTCAAAGCGAGTACTTTTTCAACTTCAATCAGGTGGTGGTGGGGGTGCAACACAAATTCTTCTGATCTAAAACATGCACACAACATTATCGCTTCTGATGCCATAGTCTGCTAGAGTTTCGCTATCTTCAAGCCTACGTCCTTGGAAATTCAAGACTTTTTGTTGAATGGGAATACCTTCTTCTGCTGCAATTTTAGCCTTCAAATCCGCGATCATATACAATCTCCAAACCCATAGAACAACTACCTTGTTTATGGCCACTCTCAMACAAATCTTCATCTGTTGAAAAAGAAACATTAATTTTTTCTTTGCAAACACAAGAAAAGCAGAAACAGAAATAATATAATGGAAGCAATTGATGAAAAGAACCTAAAATAACCTTGTCCTTGGGACGAAGTTTCCGTATCAACCATTTTCTTCGCAATTTGTCATTCATTTCAAGAAATGCTCCGGCGTAGTCCTCATTCTCCAGTAAATCGAAGTTTTAACTACAGCTTTATTCAGAGAATTAGAAACTTTACTTGCCATGACCACGTCTTCACCCTCTTAAATCAACTAATTAATTTCTGTTGTGAGAATTAAACATATAATTTATAATACGTAGGAGAAAGGAAGAGATAGAAGGATTCGAGAGAGGAGAAGCCGAAGGGTCTTTTTCTATTTCCCAAAAAAAACATTATTCTCATTTTTGTTCTTCTCATGCTTGAGAGCAAAATAATAATTAGAAAAAAAATGTTAATTATTATTTTGTAAATATTTAATTTTTTTATTATTTTTGTATTTATAATATATTGTTTTTAATTTAATAAAACTTTTTTAAATTATTATAATTTATAAAATAATTTTATATGATTTTTTTGTGACAAAATCATATTATTATTTAAACTGTAAAGATAGATATGTACTCGAAAAAAAAATATATATTGAAACTATGAAGATCAACGAAATAAAATAAAAATAAAATAATAAAAAAATATCTTTATTTATTATTATTATTATTTTTGTAATAGAATAACTATTACATCAATGAGATAGTTCTTCTTTCCAAAAAAAAAATAATAAATAAATAAAGATAAGCAAATATAGTATATAAATTTTAAGTATTTACACAATTATATTTATCAAAGTATCATATACTAAGTAATATTTCCAAATTATTAGTTCTAAAGATACTCAATTTTTTAAAGTTTAAGTACTAACAAACATTAAAGTGTATTTTTTTATTCAATATTAAAAATAAAAAAATCCAGTAAATAAGTTATCTTGTTACCATTACTTATAAAGTTAATTTAATATTGAGGAATAATTTTAAATCTGGTATGACAAAGACTATGTTAAATTAAAAAAWTTTGTTGGTATGGTTTGAGCATAGTTTGAATTTATTTCATATAAAAGTTTAGTATATAATTTGATCAACATATATAGTTTGACTTAAGGTTTAGTCCCTATGTTTTTTTTTTCTTTTTTCTTTTTATTTATAAGTCATTTTTAAAAGTTTCAAGTTAGTTTTCTAGGTCCAATTAAATTTCATAAATTATCTTCGGGTTATCAGATTTTTAACATTGCAATGAGCTAACTTTTTAATTGAAGTAACTATATGTTACTTGTTAGAGTTTAGACAGGTGGATTAGTTTGGAAAGGCTTGAGAGAGTTAGAGGCTAGCGAGCTCTGAAGATGAGGTTACTTGGGTTATATACCTTAAATGCATGGTGTTGTGTTGTTTACGTGTTATGATCTATTAAGCATATTTCTAATTTATCTTATTGTGTTGAATAATSTGTCTTTGAGCATGTTGTTTGTGGTAGTTRGTGAAGCCTACTTATGAAGTATTTTATATACTCACTCCCCTTACAATTATTGTTCTCAGGTGAAGACCAGATTTACGATCATGGTGATCACATGGAGGAGGTCTGACCGAGGAAGGACCATYAGGCTGCGTTACTCTTTACTTTCGTTGATAGGATAGTTTGATGGTTATTGTTTGATTGTTCTAACACCTAGTTGAGTTGTTGTTTAGGAGGCKGTCTAGTCATTATTGATTTGTTGGGTATGGGCATTTTGCAGTTGCATCGATGTTGTCATTTGTTTAAATTTGTTGCTTGATATAGTTTTGATTGGTTAAGCAGGAGAGTTAGGTTTCGTTAGCCCACAGAGGGTAGGATGATTCTTTTTAGTAATCGAATAAAATATGAACCTTCTAGGTTTTGTTAGTTGATTTGTTATTATTCTGCATGGTTATATGCTTGAATCGAATAAGTTGTTTGTCTATTGTTGTTTACTCGAATTCTCATCGCTTTGATTTAAACYGGAGAGTTACGTGTTGTTGTCCATGGAGGACAAGTTGTTCCATTTATTAAATAASTGAAGTGTCCACAAGTTTAAGTTGAGCAAATAAAAAGCTGAATTTCCTAGCTGTTAGTGGCCTTTATGCCTTGGGAGAAACCTTGGAGCAAGTAGGATTAGTAATGTCCCTGTATGAGTTGTTGAAATTCAGGGGCGTTACACTAAATGTTCTTAATTATCCTTTACGAGCTAGTAAGGCGACCTAATGAACTTATAGATTAGAAGCTTCAACAATACTAGATGAATTGATTAAACTCATTAATTAAAATAATCAACATTGGTTAACTGTGGGTCACTCCACTAAAGACTTACAATGCACTTTTCTCACTGTAGAATATTTTATGTCCAAGGATATTGACCATTAGCAATAAGACAATTATTCACAAGTGTTCGTAACTTCAGCTGGGTCAAATTATTGTTTTATCAATGATTTTTCTCCTTAAGTACCACTGATCCTCTAATAAACAACATGTTTATGGTCTAACCATTAAACACTTAAGGGAATACTCATATACTTACCCTAAAGTCGGGAAGGAGTGAATTCTATCTTGTGTTGTTATATTCCCAGCTCCCCACTCGATTTTGTCTCCAAAGTGGTAAGCTTATTGAGTCGGCTACATCGGGTCACTCTCACCCATGCAAATCAAGAGACRATCCCTCGTAGACAGGAGTCCATAACACACTCAGGATTAAGACTGAGTCACAAGGTCATCCTATGACATAATAACCTAATTAGTCAACGGTGTTACATCTAATGATTATTAATTATTTCGCGGTCCAGTCTTATACAAACTCATGTATAGGATACCCCCACTCACATGTCTCTACATGAACAAGTTGGATCAATTCGTTGGTATTAAATACAACATGGTTGTACCCATAGTGTCAACATGATAAGGTACCCAGCCTRTGTCCATATACTATAGACCCTTTAGGTTATTACTTGAACACGATCCCTTGTATATCTACTACATACTGTTCAAGGCTCATTAAATAACCTAGGATGTTAGTTTATTGGACTTGGATCAATGCAATGATAAAATAAACTTCAATAACAACTTGATTGAATAAAAAAAATCGTTGACATTCATTATCCACTARTTTATGGCATTAAACCCCACAATTCAAACTTTCCACCAATCTAGCCCTATAGCATTCCACGGTACCRAACTTTCCACCAATGTTCAAGTTTKATCTCTATCAAACTTAACCAATCGAATTATCGCAGCAATGAAAAAGCCTCTCGATGACACCATCAAAGTATTTCATCTTGAAAGAGGCCTAGGAAATAAGAATAGAGAATTTAGAATTGTTATGCTCTCAAAGGCTCCTTACCCTTTTTTTAATCAGTTTGTTCTAGCTCTTAAGAATCATGAATTACAACTAAGTCTTGAAGTAGCAGAGAAAAAAGAGCAGCAAATTGATCACAACCAAGCATTTCTTAGTCAAAGAGGAAGATCTAGAAGAGGAGGGAGAAACTTTTCACCAAGAGGAAGAGGAAATTACCTAGGAAAAGGCCCTAATACTACACAACAAAAATATTGTTGCGCAATTCCCTCAAAGAAASTACAACTAAACAGAAAACAAGTTTGGCTACAACGATAAAGGTGTTCAATGTCAAATATGTGGGAAATTCAACCACACGACTCTAGAATGTTGGAATAGGTCTGATCATGCCTACCAGTCAGATGAAATCCCAAGGCCCTAGCTGCTATCAGTCTACATGAAGGTTAGATTCAATGATGTTTGCTGATTCTCGTRCTATAGCTCATGTAGTACTTGACGAATCAGGTACAAGCTCCCAACTTACACCTTATAATGTCTATGAAAAATTGTATGTTGGGAATGGATCAAGAACTAGCTCAAAATCTTGTAAAGAAACAGAGAAAAACATTAGAAAACATGGAAATCATTTTTTCCTTTTATGTAATCTTCTCTCCTTAACCAGAAAACCCATAACCCATATATGAGGGTGAGAAATGTTAAACGTAATTGATAGACTCAATTAATTTATAACCGTTACAACAGTTATAAATTAATGTCATGAAAACCAAATGTTTAAGTATAAAATAATGGTTATTAAAACACAATAAACATAGTCTCCAAAAACCCAATTTGCTTTGTAAAACATATTTTTCGTTAGTCATTCCCAACAATCCTCCACAAATGACAAAATGTAAAAATAAAAAATAAAAATTTGAGCAAAGAAAGAAAGATAAACTAAGAAAGATAAACTTAAGCATTAATATCTTTCGATTTGAATTGATGCATAGTGAGATGAGACAACAACCTAACTAATGAAAGTGAGTTACCTYTTGAACTTTCAGCACTTATGGTTGAGACCCCCACAACACATTTAGTTCCTTGTTTTTCTATTTCGCGATACAAATCAAGTGTTAGTGATGGTCATGCACATAAAACCTCGGGTTATCGTGATAGCTTTAGAAAGAGACCTTTTAACTCTTTCATAGAAGGCGACTTACCTTCACAATGACGTTATTGCTTCATCAAGTCTGTTAGAGATAACTCATTCGAAACTGAGCTATGATGACTTTACACATTATTCATCAAGTCTATATAGACCACCYAAATAAAGTGTTATGGATTATCACAGTACATCACAACACAAGTGTATTATCCATCATATCCATACAGACCACTCAAATAAAGGGCTATGGATTCTCACAGTAAATCACAAACTTTAGGGTTTTAATCCCATAAATACTGAAGATTCAAGAATTATCCTTTTTGTTAGGCAGTCTTTGGTGAGAGGATTCACTCTGTTCRTCTTGGGCCTCACATATTTTAAAGAGATAACTTCTCCTTTCAGCAACAGCGTTATATTCAGGCATACATGCCTTCTCTTGCTATTGTGCACACAGTTTTTGGCAATTACTATGCCATCTTGTGAGTTACCATGTAGGGATATTATTATAGATTCCCCCCACAATGGCTCGTCTTAAAGACCTTTTGGCCATTCAACAAGATTTGATGATTTATATAAAATAGCTCATCTACCTATAAGAAACACATAATATACATTTGCTAGAGGAGCTCACTTCATCGTTATTTGAAACACAGTTTGCTTTCGTGTCTCAATAACCTTCCTATTAGTTAGAGTGCAAACAAGCTAGAGGACCTCACTTCATCTTTATTTGAAACACAGTTTGCTTTTGTGTCTCAATAACCTTCCTATTAGTTAGAGTGCAAACAGGCTAGAGGACCTCACTTCATCGTTATCTAAAACACAGTTTAATGGTCTTTACCATAATAGTAAGTAAATTCACTCAATCTACTCACAACATATGAAATATCAAGTTTAGTATAGTTTATCAGAAAC